TATGACAAGCAAGCCTCATTATCTCTTTTTAAAATAATCTCATCCACTTTTATTCTTGTTGATCCTAGCACTTAAGAAAGGATAAGTTTGGTTTTGAAATTTTCCTCGTGATCTCAACTTCTCTCTTTTTGTTATAGTCCTCATCACTCTTTTATGTTCTTGGATACCCATACACGTTCACAAACTTGCCATGTATGAACGTGCTCTTGCTTCCTATTGTGCTAATTAGAGCCTATTGGATGACATTATCCAAGTTGACATTCACTGAAATGATCATGTCATTTTTTATTATGCTAATTTTTTCTATATTATATATATATAGAAAATTTTATGACGATATGTAATTTGCTACAGAAGATATTTCATAATTATAATTATATCATTTATAAGTAAAAGTACACACTCAAGGTACCTCGCTTCAAAACATGTTCATTAAATACTTATAACCAGTAAAAAAGAATACAAATTTGAGATTGATAATTGATTCTTAATTATGGTAATCTAATGAAGATTAAAAATTCTTCAGCATCGGTCTACTGTTATTTTCAGCATCAGTGATTGCTCTTTCACATGCATGCATACATGTCCATTAAATTGATAGCATTAAACCCCATGAAAGAAACGAGGTGTGAAAGAAAATGACCGGCGTTAACGTTCCAAGCTTTTTTCTCCAGAGTTGCTTCTCTTTCTCCACCTCTTTGATAACCAAGACCATGATGGATGGATGCATGGTTTGACTTCATCAGCTGTGTAAAGCTGAAGAAGAGTTTAGCATTTGTTTTCCTCATTTTAAATTTCACTTTAGACAGAGTTTGAAAATTAAATTCAAATGAAATGATGATAAATTTCATTTTTTTTTTCTTTTTGGTTAAGAACATAGTTTCTAAATTGTACGAAACTAAATGGGCACTAAGCCATGTGCCCTTTTCTTCTCTTCTGATATATATCTCTCTCACTTCCAAGTAGACTCCTTGTCATCTTACACTGACAGCACAGCGTGCTTTCTGATTTCTACTGCTGCCAAACAAAAGCAGCAATGACAGCATAGCCTTGCAAGTCAAAAAAAATAAAAATAAAAATAAAAACTGGATGGCATGGCATGATCCCTGCAATAAAGCCGTCGAGATTCAAGATAAGGCCGAAAGACAAAGATTGGTATTCCTTTGCTTTTTAGTGACATCACAATTTCGAATTCTGTGAAGCAGAATATTGCTGAAAATGAACTTATATTGTTTAAACATGTTTTAAATATAGAAGAAAAAAAACAAAAAAATGTAAAAAATTTCCAAGTTGCTTTAGATATTTTTGTAAGAATAAGTTTCATGCCTCCCACATCATGTCATGCATCAAAAATTTTATTCATAAAGTAGATTCCAAATAATTGGGATAAATTTGTATCACAGACGCAAACTTCTCTAAGCAACTTCACGTCATAGTGTAAAAGAGATTTATTTTTGTTCATGTACGTTCAAAGTTTGGCTCACGAGGATGGAGACGTTCCTCTGAAGAATTTTGTCTGTATTTCTTAAATATTTTGCAGCCGGAAATTAAAATTCTTCCTATATATAT